GTATCAGCGAAATCGCGTCAGGCGTTATGGTCGAAGTAGTACTAACACAATTCAGTACAGATATAGTGATAACATCCAAGATAAAGCAATAGGTCTTGCAAGACTTTGTCTAAATAAGAACAAGCATTGTCACTAAGGTGACATAATCCCCCGCCGCAAATTATCAAATCAAACTTAAAAAGTAATGAAAGTTTAAGAAAGTTAACATGCTTAAGTTTAAGTTAAATGTCAACAAAAACATGACCAGTCAACCTCTCTTGATATCTTCTCTTTAGTTGTTCAGACACACAAATATTTTCAAGACTGACTTTGACCTTGACATAAATGTCATAGTGTATGAAATATGCAAAAATGGGACTTAAGATATTGCTTATTGAAAAACATTCAAGGGAAGGCTTGAAAGTCTATGAAAACATCCACTGAAATCAGTTTAACATGCTGAAATCTTCAAAGTGTCGCTGTGACCTTGAAAATTAAGTGAAGGTCACCAAAGTCGACTAGGCCCTGCGCCCTCCCTAGATAAAGCTTTGTGTGGACTGTGAAGAAAATCCAATTGAACGGTTCTAAGGATAGCTTAACTTGGAGGTTAACATGCTGAAAGCTTCAAAGTGTGGCCATGACCTTGAAGATAAAGTTAAGGTCACCAAAATCGATTGGGCCCTGCGCCTTCCCGAGATAAAGCTAGGTGTTGTATATAAAGAAAATCTAGTGAGCGGTTCTTGAGATATCTCGCTGACAACAGGGAAACGTTAAAGTCCCCTTGTGACCTTGAAATAAAGGTCAAGGTCACCAAACTTGACTGGGATCCGTCTTATACTGTGATGAACCTAGGTACCAAATATGAAAAGAATCAAGATATTCTAATTCGTAAGTGCGGACGGACGGATGGAGCCTAATACTATATCTCCCGCTTCGCGCTCAACGTGCGGTGGTGGATAAATAATAAGTAAGTGAGTGAGTGAGTTAAGATTATAGTCACATCGGCAATATTTCAGCCATATCGTGACTTAAAAAGTTATACATTGTAATAGTGAGTGAGTTAACAATTAGATTCACATCGACAATATTGCAGCCATATCGTGACTATAATCACATATACTTTGACAGTAAATAATTTTTTCCTAAAATCTGTCAACAAAGGACAGTAAAACAACTAGGTTATCGCAGATAGAAATATGTAACTAGCATGTAAGCATTAAAGCATTTATTACAATACAGGATAATACAATATTAAAACCGGGCTATAGGTCACCAACAACTGAAGGTAGATCACAATACTAGGGACCATGGGCCTAATAAGTAAGAGCATTTAATTTGGATGCTTGGAGTGAACTTATTTCATATAAATATTTATCTTCCAATTAATTAGAGCCACAAATATAAAAGTGATTCTTTCTACTTCACGGGAGGGGATAGACAGAGTAGACAATCATGCCATTACTTCAGTGAAGATATAGCTTTTAGTTCAAATGGAAGCTATGATTTTCTCTGTTCGAAGTATAACAATGCATATCATTTACATCTGATATAAACATGTGTATAGAGGACTGAAACAGAGGAAGTAAAACGGGAAACATTTTAGTCAGAAATAAAGTCGTAGGACAAGTTATCCAAACTTTACGCTAGTGTTCATAATACTTTGTATCAATATTAGAAGTCATTAAAACCACTTGACATACCTGCAATAAACTCCTACTCATTCTTATTATGACATAACACATAAACTGGCCTGCTTTATATCAGTTACAAAGAATAATATTGACAAGCATAAATAGGATGAACATTTACATAAAGATTATCAACGTTCATGATATATGTGCATACTTTTACATAGTCTCATCATAAGCACCTAGTCAACTCAGACTTTGCATCGTTTACAATGTTAGGAACATGTTTTATATACCTTATTATTTTTCATTCGTTCTGTCTTCTTTTGCTATACCCTGGTCTTCCACTTTAGCCAGCTGTCAAGCAAACATACGTTCCAATAATGGCATTAGATGCTACCCACGAAGTTAAGCGCTCAGCATACTAACTTGTGCGCTCAAGATATGAACTTGTGCGTATACAATATATCAACTTGTGCACTCAACATGCTAACTCGTACGCTCAACATATTAACTTGTGCGCTCAACATACTAACTTGTGCGTATACAATATATTAACTTGTGCACTCAACATGCTAACTCGTACGCTCAACATATTAACTTGTGCGCTCAACATACTAACTTGTGCGTATACAATATATTAACTTGTGCACTCAACATGCTAACTCGTACGCTCAAGATATGTTTCATCAGGTCCCTTCAGCGCTTCCGTAGTGAATGCACTGTGGTATCACTTTATATCGTTGGTTGTTAGTCTGGTTTATTTGCACCCAGCCATGTTATTGCAGGAGTCAAGCTGAGCAGCGTCAAGCAATAAATACTGACACTCGGCAAACTGCCAGAAGTCTGCAAAGGTTATCGGCTGAAAGAAATATTTTAATTTCCTTTTCATATAAATTTCAAAGATAATTTGCCCTTTACATCAAATCGGTCTGGTTTGGATGATAGTCAATGCGGGTTATTATTTGTCATTGTCCTTTTAGATACTGCATAACCTTCAATAAACATTTATCGTCGAAGGTGTTGAGTCGACCTCTGTATTGATACGGATTAAACGCCGGCTATGGAACATAAGCATCCGTTTGCATTCAGATGATAAAGATTAGCTTTGCACAAAGGTTACCTTGAATTTATGATTGTTGACTCAGAATTAGTAATGACTGTACGTTTTCATGTTATGTGACTGTCAGGATCATATTGCTAATGTTGGCAAGAAGTTTATGACCTATACTATACTTCCTTTAAAAAGTTTAGACTCACTTAAAACACTCACTATATGTTATGTATAATATGGTTACATCGAAGATTGATTTCTCTACTAACTTGGGGAAACCAACTTCAAACCTTACGCAGATGAACTGCACGAGGATCATGCATCAAGTTGCTGAAAAGCATGTGCAAATATCGTGCATGTGAGCAGATGCGTTTTGGTGTAATGTTTTGTTAAGAATTCGTCAATTTTCACTGATTTCTATCATTTATTGAACTCATGACAATAATCTTTTCAACGTTACGAAATTGTTTTATAATACACCAGTTCATGTGTAAACAGTACCTTTAATCAGTGTGTAATATTGTGTAACATTAGTTTAGAACAGTTGCGTGAAGTATATTTACACTAGTGGGTCTAAATCTTTGAAAGGAAGTATATTTTCCTGCAACTTGAAGTAAGCAACCACGCAGACATCTGGGTTGAAATGCGTGTTATTTCAGTGAGCGGGTCGCTAGGAAACAAATATTCATATCAGAAAATATATATACTGTAACGGTATTTATACTACCATAGTATATACCTAGCACATTTATTAAGCAAATAACTAAATACTAAATGTGAAGTATGTACGCTGGCCGTTTGCTAAATGTGGTTTGTAAAGCGCTATTTATATTTATGATAATGGACACAAACAAAAACGTCATACATTGACATCAATGTTGTTACACGTAGCAACGTTGTGAGCAAAACAATCGTCGTGGCTATGCCGGAGGCTAAAGTTTTCTTTTCATTCTTTTAGGTATTTGTATTCTTTTTTGGGTTCAGATATCTAGACGAAGCCAAATAGATTTATTCACTGAATATGAAGTAGAAAAAAACCTGTAGAAACAAAATTATTTACTTTGTAAGTTAACCGTTTCTCAAGAAATAATACATAACGTTAATAAGGACCTGTCGAAGTGCAGAATCCTACATGTTCTTTTGAACTGGTGTGTTCCTACACGGATCGTGTTGGCCGTAGAACAGGTAAGCAAATGTTTCCAGTAAAATTATTCCACTACGTTTGAGGTCCATTGTAGTTTATTAGACATGAGGTTGCTTATTTTTTTATCTTGGTATGAAACTCTTGAATTGATATAATTAAGCTAAACGCTAACAGTTCAGTGTTTGAATCAATAATGAAAGAGCCCATATGGCATTATATCCAGGGTGGCATTGTAACCAGTTAGGACTCGGGTGTCTGCAGTACACCGGTGTGTTTCCAGCAGTTAGCAACTGTAACAGGTGTTACTTGCTCGCATACTTTCTTCACATAGCGTATACTGTCACTCAACAGGATGGTTGAAGGTACGGCATTGTCTGTGCAATCAACAAGGTGATTGAGCTGATGTCTCCTGTAATGCGCCCCAGCGTCTAGGGGCTGCAGGTGACTTCTTGTTGTAGGTGGCAGGATGTGTATCGTCACATGTGTTAACACATCTACATGCAGCCAGTGTAATTGGCATTACAACCAGGGAAAAATGACTCTTGTTCTAAAAACCATTGGCTTTTTTAAAGAGAGTGATTTGATTGATAAATATTGATGTATATAGTGACATTTTATAGATAGGTAATACATGAATATTTACTGTGATTTGTAGGAGCGGTACCCTTAACGGGGGTTGAAGTGCCGCAAAATTATTGTTTCCTTGAAAGGGTATATAAGCCGACAGTATATTCACATCTACCACCCTTTTTAATCGTAGAATGTTTGTACTTTTTAAATAAATGGCCAACATTACCTACAATCACTATCAGCTGAAGGGATGGTATAAATCCAGCTAGAGAACCGTGCAGGAAGCAGAAGTCCACACGGTCCGTTGCTAGCGATCTCTTGTCAAACTTTTTATATATCGTATCGTTAATTGTTAGTGTTTTATCTTAATTTTCCTTGTTCTAGTTTTAACATATACGTGACAACCTAGTAATTTTACTGTCCTTCGTTGACAGGGTTTTATGAATTATATGTATTTATCATAAATTTAGAACTCACTGAAAGTTTCAACCTTGAAAGATCTGTTTAACAGCAGTTCTCATTACGTTCTTGGGTTTTTTAATAGGTATTGAATTAATTGGTTTATTTTGAGATACTTAGATATTGTAAGTATTAAACAAACAATATAAGTGGGTCGAATGAATACATAACTGTGATTGTAAGTGGTTGTACCTTCAAAGGGGATTGAAGTAGCGTAAATTAGTTGCCTCCTTGAGAAGGTACGTGTCCTTCCATTTCATTCAAAGTATTTGTCATTTTCCACACTTCAAAAGTAGGAGACTTACTCTTACTGTTCATCGAATTTCATTTTCATTTCTATTGATCTATCATGCAATAGTTAATTGGTCTCGTCACGATATTTGTTCAAATATTGCCGATGTGACGATAAGTACCACCACCACCACCATTACCACCACCACTACTTTAGTATTCATACGGGCAAACTGTTCGCTGACAGAATAATGTACAATTATCATCACCATCACCACCGTAAGCAACACTACCACTAATACCACTTCTACAACTAATATTACCACCATTACAAGCCCGCCGCCATAGAGCTGGAATATTGCTTGCGGAAACTCATTCACTAAACTCACTCACTCACTCACCATTACAACTCACTCACCATTACAAGCTCCATCACAACTACTACAAGTCCTTCTAGAATTACTTGTACCACCGACACCACAGCTTCTACTTCCATTTCATCAACAGTAGCAGGAGCAGCAGGCTTCATAAACTACCATCACAACAACCAGTACTACTACTACTGCTACGACGACCACCATCACAACTACTACAAGTCCTTCTAGAATCACTTGTACCACCGACACCACAGCTTCTACTTCCAGTACATCAACAGTAGCAGGAGCAGCAGGCTTCATATACTATCATCTCAACAACCAGCACTACTACTACTGCTACGACGACGACCACCATCACAACTACTACAAGTCCTACTAGCATTACGGAGCGAGAATTAGTTATTGCAATGTCGCCGATGGGAGCTGTAAGCTGCAATATTGTTAGTACATTCAACTGTGCAAGGCAGACCACTATTAGACTAATGACACTGGCTAGACATCTGACAGGTGAGATGAGGTGAAATTGAGTTTTAATTCGTGCTTTAGAATATTTCGCTCATATGACGACGTGCATGCATGCATGTGTATGTGTATGTGTGGCTGCTTGTACTAGCCAAGACTTCAGCTGGTTTTATAGTGCTAGCCCACTGAGATACCATGCCGCAGTGAAGCATGAATACCCCACTCAGACACATTATACTGACCAGTCCTTGTTGTACCCATTAATGCCGAGCGCCAGGCAGGGACCAACAATTACCATATGTTAACGTCTTTTGGTATGACGCGGTCGGCGATCGAACCCACGACCTTCCACCTTGCGGGCGGACGCTCGAACCACTACACCACGGAGGCGGTCGACATCTGACAGTCCCGGAACTGGAAGACCGAGAATGAGACGCAAGATAAACATCACTTCCACGTTCTGTATCCACACAACCAGATGCTCACAGTAACGTCACCAGCATTAGCAGTGTTGGGTCACAGAATCAGCCGGGACACAATGATGAAATGAATGCCTGCTGCCAACATCGAAGCCTATTGGCCATTTCAGGGCATTCCATGAACTCGTAAACATCCACTGGATCAACTACGCTGGGCGAGTACCGTAAGGCGTAGGCAACGTCGTACGCAATCTGTGCTGTGGCAGAATGTACACAATGTCTGTGACCTGTCAATCACAATCAAAACGCTATTCAAAATATTTACCACCCTAACTACGACAACCACCACCACTAACACTACTATCATCATCACTACCACCACCAAGACCGCTACCACCACTACCACTGCCACTACCACCGCCACCACCACTACCACCACCACCAAAACCACTACCACTACCACTACCACCACCACTACCATCACCACCACCACTTACCCGTGAAGGTCCAGGTTAGAATGTGCCTTCAGTAACCCATGCTTGTCGTAAGAGGCGACTAACTGGATCGGGTGGTCAGACTCGCTGGTTTGGTTGACACACGTCGGTTCCCAATTGCGCAGATCGATCGATCACAACTGCCACTACTACCACCACCACCACCACCACCACTACCACAGCCATTACCACTACAACTACCACTACTACCACCACGGAAACGCAAACGGAGTATAACCGTATCTGCATATGAGTAATTTCAGTCACATATTACACATGCGCACCATAATAAGCAGATGATAATTTATTCAGCATATTTAACTTGATCAGACCTTTGTGTACACATAAATCTCTTGTTTTCTAGTTTAATCGTTTGCAATCAACCGAATCGTATTGCAGTAGTGGTGGTAGTAGTGGTAGTGGTAGTGGCAGTACAGATATTGGTTGGAGGTTGTGTGATACGTGGTGAACACGATAACTGTACTGGTTTCATTGATGTTTTAATGAACGTAGCAGTAAATTCAGTCACATTATTACACAAGCGCACCACAATAAACAGACGATAAATTATTGAACATATTCAACTAGAGCAGATATTTCTGTAAATAGAAAGCACGCCAGACTCTTGTTTTCAAGAGTAATTGCTTTGCAATCGTAGTCTTCGCATTAGCGATAGTAGAGGTAGTAGTGAAAGTAATAGTAGTAGTAGTAGTAGTAGTAGTAGTAGTAGTAGTAGTAGTAGTAGTAGTAGTGGTAGTGGTAGTGGTGTGGTGGTGATGGTGGTGTACACGATAATTGTACATATTTCTATCAGCCGACCTATTCAGATGGGCGTAGACCTCTATGGGGAATGAAAAGACACAAACAACAGCAGAACAGTTATTTGATGAGTTTATGTCTGATAATTATTCATAGAATTGTCTTTGTGATGAATAAAATATAATGTTGCAGTGAAATATCTTACCCTTGATCTACCCTGTACTCAGACATTTAACCCGTGAAGGTCCGGGTGAGAATGTGCCTTCAGTAACCCATGCTTGTCGTTAGAGGCGACTAACAGGATCGGGTGGTCAGGCTGGCTGGCTTGGTTGACACATGGCATCGGTTCCCAATTGCGCAGATCGATGCTCATGCTGTTGATCACTGAATTGTCTGGTCAAGACTCGATTATTTACAGACCGCCGCCATATAGCTGGAATATTGCTGAGTACGGCGTAAAACTAAACTCACTCACTCACTCACTAACTCTATCAGCCACTGGTTTCACTGTCGTTATAAATGAACGTAGCAGACTTACTAAATGTACTAAACGCGGAATCGTATAAACTATTTTCACAAATGACCACAGGGTAAAATGTGTGTAGCCCATTTGTGGTGCCCCGCTCCGTGACTGCTGGAATGTTTGCTAAAAGCGGCTTAAAACTAAACACACTCACTCACAAAAGAAAACAGTGACACTTTCTCATGAGTGTACCGTTTGACAAGCATGAATACCAAACACTTATTGACCCAACTACGTTCATTTCTTGCAGATGTTTTCTGTAAGGTGCTAATCCGAATATTAAAACTATTTCTCCTACCTGAGTGAGTTTACTTTTACGCCGCACTCAGCAATATTCCAGCTTCCTCAGCGCCGTTGAGCAAATACTTTTTTGGAATCAGGCGCTATATAAATTCATTGTCATTATCATTATCATCATTATCATTATATGGCGGCGGTATGTGAATAATCCAATGTGGACCAGATCAACAGCATGAACATCGATCTACGCAACGGGGATACGATGACATGTGTTAACCAAATCAGCGTGCCTGACCACCAGATAAGCATGGGTTACTGAAGCTTAATTCTAACCCAGAGATTCACGGGTAGTAGTAGTAGTAATGGTGGTGGTGGATGATGGTAGTAGTAGTAGCAGTAGCATTAGTAGTAGTAGCATTAGTAGTAATAGTAGCAGTAGCAGCAGCAGCAGCAGTAGCAGTAGTAGTAGTAGTAGTAGTAGTAGTAGTAGTAGTAGTAGTGGTGGGAATAGATTGTGGTGGCTGATTGTGTGGTACGTGGTGGACACGATAATTGTACATATTTCTATCTAACTTGAAATGTACTAAACGCAGGATCGTATTTTCACAATAACAACTACAACAACAAGATAACATATTCTGCTGTGTGTAACCACTTAGCTAGCTCGATTACGTAACGCTTAGCGACCCACCTACCCACATTACGTGCGGCAGTTCTCTATACAATGTTAATCTCACTGTCACAACTGTCGTTTCACCTACCTCACACTTGTATTCATTTAATACATATCTCAGTAACCTAAAAATAATGTTTTAGCGATCATCAACCTGTGAAAAATAACTTTTTAAAATAGTATAAATTCAAACACACACTAATAAACCAGAAAGTTATGAAAATCATGAACAGCATAGCTTGCCTGACGTTGTTGCATAACGCAGTCCGATGGATCTGGGGCTCGGGGAGGTTTCCCCCTGCTCCATTGTTACAGACGCTTGTGATTTGACATAAGGCTTGAACTTCACGGGGCTGTACGACAGCACATATCTTCAGCTGATTCGCACGTGCTCATTGGGTTCAAGGGCGCAACTATTTAATTTTCGCGGTGGGGAGAGGTCCTATATAGTAAAGCCTCTGTTTTACTGGAATATATATGTCCCTTAATCATGCAGTTGGTATGTATCGAAACATTTAGTAATCCATCTTTTTTGTTTAATTTGTCAAAAAGGAACTTTCACATATGTAGAAAATGCTTATCTCAAACCACAATCCCCTCCCCTCCCCTCCTTTGAAATGGTTTCTCCCTGATGTCATACTATATAACGCAAATACCTTCACACGTCTGTCACGTTTGTCGATTTATCGCTTCGTTCTCTAGTTATCAGCATCCTTACTACGTTATCATAATTGTTACTTCGTTACTTCCTTATTTCCTTACTTCGTTACTTTCATACTGTTATTACCATCGTTCCATTCGCTCTTATCATGTTCAACTTCTTCGGGAGGATGACAGCCCAGGGAGCCCAGGAGCCCAGACCACCCAGTCTACACAAGGACCCCAGGCGACCCCGACGACACAGCCCGGGACCCAGGGATCGGCATCCAGGATGGCATCGACCTCTTCCACATCATCCACTCCGTTTGCGACACCGATGACTACCGCACCCGTTCCCACTGCTGCACGTGGAGGTGCAACGGCAATGAATGTGAGTAAACAAAATATTTGTTAATGTTTCTGTATCA